CTAGCCTTGAGCTGAAGAGCTGAGGGACAGCATCCAGGCCCAGAGATCAGGCCCCACGACCGGACCCCTCTCCCCCCCCCAAATTCAACCTATTAGTCATTTTAAAACATTCAGTTCAGGGCTGTTATATTTAGTGTGTAACTATTACTGCTGTTGAATTTCAAAACAGTTTATATCCTGTTCAGATGGCCACTACCTTTTAAGTAGCTGATTTCCATTCTGCCTTACCTAGCACTAGGTAATTCACATTGAGGACATACCATTTAAACAGAGTGAGGGAACATCTGCCCTTTTGTCACTGGGTTCTTTCATCTAGTTTGTTTTCAAGGTTCATCCACATAGTAGTCCAAGTGAGACTTGGACTACTTGGAGACATCCCTAAAATCTGAAATTCTTTGAAGCCTGGATTTTCTGAGCACCAACATGATTATTACTAGTAGAAAGCTGCACATCTGACCTAATGTGATAGGTCTTGTCAAAATGCAGGTGCACTACAAACATTGGATTGTGTTACCTTTAGTCTGTGTGTGTGTGAATGTATTTGTGTGTGTAAGATATAAATGAGTTTCATATTTAGAATTTGGTTCCAATTGCTAAGATAGCTCATTACACGTATACTAATATTCTAAAATTCAGAAAAATTAGAATCACTTTTGGGTCTCAAGCATTTGAGATAAAGGACACTCAATCTGTATGTGTCAGTGCTTCATTTTTCTTCATTGTCAAATATTCTATTGTATGAACATATACATTTTATCCATCTCATTAATTCTAGTATCACTGATTAATCCTTTTTTAGCTTTAGAAATTACTTTTATTATATTCCTGTGTTCTTGCCCATTCATGTACTAGTTTTTAGGTCACATATTAAGCTATGACATTTTGGGTTAGTAACACAATTTAAAAACACTATTTTAGGCCGGGCTCTGGTGGCTCATGCCTGTAAATCCTAGCTACTGAGGAGGCTGAGATCTGAGGATCACAGTTCAAAGCCAGCCCTGGCAGGAAAGTCCATGAGACTCATCTCCAATTGAGCACCAGAAAACCAGAAGTGGTGCTATGGTTCAAGCAGTAGAGTGCTCATCTTGAGCTGAAGAGCGCAGGAATAGTGCCCAAGCCCAGAGTTCAAGCCCCATGACTGACAGAAAAACAAAAAACAAAAAAAACACACTGTTTTAGCAGTGGTGTATATTTTAATACTTAAAAGTATAGTTCATTCTACCTGGTTTCTTATTGTATATATTTATATTCTTAGTTGACATGGAATGATAGATAGATAGATAGATGTATTTATGTAGCATGTGGTAATTCACTTCATGTATATATCATGTCCAAATCAAGTTATCTTCCACCTCAAACATCGATTATTTCTTTGTGGGGAGAGAAAATTTTCAACATCATTTCTTTGGGCTCCTCTGAAACACACAGTACATTGTAATCATCTAGTCACCTTACTGAGTCATCAAACACCAGAAATTATTCTCCTACCTATAGCTTAGTTTACATTGACTAGCTTTTCTCCATCTCTCCTACCCCTAGAAAAACACTATTCTACTCTCAGCTTATATTACTCTTCTTTCTTAGATATCATTGAATTTCATTAATCTAAATGAACTTTGAAATGCTGATGGGATTTAAAATGAAAATTCATTAAGCTCTGAAAATTAATTTGAAAAAAAATCACACTTTTCCTGGTGGACAAAAAATATTTTCAGGTCTTTTTTTTTTTTTTTTTAAATGAGAGCTCAAACTGAGCTCAGTTTGTACCATACTGCCAAATCCTGAACTTGGTTGTGCTTCTTCTTACCTAACACTTGGCAGTAAGAGGGATGACAGTCCCAGATGCTAAAGCAACTTCAGCAGTAAATAAAAGAACAATAATGATAAAGTTAGACAGGAGTAATTCCAGTACATAAAGTAAACTAAGAGAAACAAATGTACTACCCAGAGAAAAACTGGCACTATAATGAAGTCAGACAGCACTTTTGTGCTCCTTCATCTGGGAAGCAGTGAAATGTTTCTATTTTGGTATCATTATGTAAATCAAAAGGTCAGTCATTTCCATTCATTGCACCATTTAAATTTCTCCTGACAGTAGCAGTTCTCATGTGCAGTTTTTACATTTTCAGATTTTCATTTTTAATATTCAGATCTTGCTGTGACAGAAAATGAAGTCCTCTAATAAGTCCAGGATGGGGTGGGGGGGACTTCTGTGCAGACTTGTTTGTAAAAGTGACCTCTCCTGGAAAGTCCTGTTATATGTATCCACCCCAAGGGAAGTGGCTTCACTTAAAGGATCTTGTATTTAGTTGGGTAAGTTGGATTGAATTCTGTAGTAATGAATTTACAAGACAATATAAATTTCTTTCTCCCTTCCTTTCTTCCTTCCTTCCTTCCTTTCTTTCTTTCTCTTTCTTTCTCTCTTTCTCTCTCTCTTTCTTTCATCCTTCTCCCCTCCCCTCCCCTCTCCCCTTTTCTCCCCTCCCCTCCCCTCTTCTCTCCTTTCCTCTTTTTCATGTATGTGTATGTTGGTCCTAGGGTTTGAATTCAGGTCCTAGGTACTGCCCCAAAGCTTTTTTTTCTCCCAGGCTAGTGCCCTACCACTGAAGTCACAGCCACTTCTGCTCTTTTGATGGTTAATTGGAGATAAGAATCTCACAGACTTTCTTGCTCAGGCTGGCTTCCAACTGAGACCCTCAGCTCTTAGCCTCTAGAGTAGCAAGGATTATAGGCATGAACCACTGGCTCCCAGAAACAATGTAATTTCTTCAGTTTTACAGTAGAAGTTACTAAAATAATGAGAAATGATTCCTGTTTATCATTTACTATGAAGTTTTCTTCTCATATTCATTTTTGCTAATAAAATATAACTATGTACTCTTATGCTATTATAGTGAAATATTGATGATGTCAGTGATATTAAATCTTAAATGTTTTGATAGTTTGTTACATGCCAGGCACTTTTTTAAGTGCTTCTCAAAAGTTTATAAAAAATTTAAATAGTTACTGTGTATGTAGATTTTTATCTTCTAGATCATTGTATGAATGAACTTTTCATGCTTTGCTAATGTGGTAAGTTGATGAAGTAGATGGATTAGAATGATTCTTTGGTACTCTTCCTTCTCTCTGTGGTGTTAGGAAAAATAAGGGAAGGGAAAAGAATGATTCTGTAATTATAAATGGTTCAAGAAGGAAGAGAAAAAAATAGAAAAGTTGTTGAAAGGAAGAAGGATTGGCATACCATTCTTCTAATTCAATTGAGTTTGAAAGGTTGCAAGTAAATGTATGAGAAGTACTAACAATGGTATCTACTACTAATAGTATTTGCTAAGTGTCAGAACTGATCTGTATATTTTCCTGAAAGGATTTCATGCTTTGCAAAGATTATAATCTGATTTCTTTTTTTTGGGGGGTCTGGTCGTGGGGTCTGAACTCTGGGCCTGGGCGCTGTCCCTCAGCTCTTCAGCTCAAGGCTAGCACTCTACCACTTGAGCCATAGCGCCACTTCCGGCTTTTTTCTTTTTGCTTATGTGGTGCTGGGGAATCGAACCCAGGGCCTCAGACATGCAAAGCAAGCGCTCTACCACTGAGCCACCTTCCCAGCCCTATAATCTGATTTCTTAAATAGTAACTTCCCTGTGTTCATTTACAATATTCTGCTATTTGCAGATTAAATGAATTTTGTTGCTCTCACATCCATCTAAGACTCCATAGCAGTAAACCACCAGGAACAGATAATGGGCTTCCCTCTCAAAGCTTTCCTGTTCTGCTCCCAAATACAACACAGAAGTTTATATCTAATTATACAGTGCCTCAAGTTGTATTGTTGTAGCCAAATGCTTTATCTTTGAAATATACTTTTGTCTCCCTTTTGAAACAGGATCTTGCTATGTAGCCCAAGGTAGCCTTTAACTCATAATCCACTTGTCCCAGCCTTTGATTGCTGAGAATATAGGCATGTATAACCATATCTAGCCTTGTTTAAAAGCATTCTAAGTTCAAAAATACACTCTTTTCTTTTCTATTCCTACAAGCATGGTGTTAATTATAAATTACATACTTAAAGATCCTAAATTAGAATCTTCCTGGTACCTTTCTTCACTACCTTTTCTCTCATAAACTCAGTGAGCATAAGATCCATCTACATTTCAACATCATTGAGGACCCTAGTGAGTTTTGGCTGGTATGATTTGTCATTAGTAACACTAACCGTATTGGAACAAAATGGAGAGCTTTTAAAGCCTAAAAATATAAGTGCATGCCCTACCAACTGTCAGTGCAAGGATATCATATACTTCATGGAGTCTCTGGAAAACACAGCACAATCATAAGAGAGTAAGAGTGAAAAAGACAATTAATGTCTTAGCATTATAGGGAAGCACTTCCAACCTCACCCTTATGGGTCTTGGAGAATTGATCATCTCAGTTCTTCTACTGGATCACTAAATCAGGCCATAATAAGGCTTGTTTTTTTTAATCTTCCCACCCTTTATTTTGGGAAAGGGTGGCTCTGGAGTTCAGGATGGGCTGGAACTTGCTATACAGCCTAGACTGGCTTCAAATCACCATCCTCCTTGCCTCGGCCCCATGAGTACTGGAATTACAGATATACACCATACAGATATACTCAGCTGGGAATAAAAGAGTAAAACTATGTTTTTCACTTTTATGCTGTACTGTGAATGGTTAAATGGTTCTAATTATATAACAAGTACAAATTAATTTTTAGTTACTATTAATATAATAGTTTGGTTTTTTGGTGAAGGGGATTGAAATTAACTTTGGTGGGTTCACAAGTTTGTGGTAGCACACATCTGTAATCCAGCTGTGCAGAAGGTGGAGATGAGAGGATTGTGCCATTCTCAAGAAAGCTTGAGACCCTATCTGAAAAATGAGTAAAAGGAAAAGGACTGAGGTGTGGCTTAAATGGTAGAGTGTTCCCAAACAAGTGCTAGGTGTAGCTGCAAACTGCTGTACTACCCACCCATACACACAAAGGAAATTACCTTTATTTAAAAAGTACCAATAGTATTTGAAACTGTTCATTATACATTTAAAGTTATGTTCTCTTACGTTGTAGTTCCTCAGTTTGAAACTGCATGTAGTTACGTGGAGGCTACACTTGAAGAGTTTTTGACCTGGAATGCTGACCAACCTCGTATTTCTGGACCATTTAGAGATTATGATCATTCCAAATTCTGGGCTTATGCTGACTATAAATATTTAATTAGTCTATTTGAAGACAGGGCAGATGTTTTTCAGGTAAGTAATGAAGTCTTTTCCATCTTAGTGAGAACTGGCTCACAAGAAAAGATGGTAAATCCACATCTTCCTGGTATCTTATTCTTTCACTGCTACTTTCTGTCATAAGTAGTCAGTGTGTTTTGGGGGTTTCGCCCAGTGGAGTAGAAGGGTCTGCCTCAGAGACATATGACATTTGGCTCACATAGATGAGCAGCTATGTCAGTTTTCTTACTCATCTTTCCTCACATCCCTCCTTTGCCTTTGAAATGTACTATAAACAGGTGGTGTATAAACCTTATTTCCTCCTAATCTACACAGAAGTTCCTGCTCTGTCAGTGAGGCGGGTAGAGGTGCAAATCTGATTCTGTGAGAGGCATTATTTGGGATGTTACCAGGTATTCAGTAGTGGATAGAGTTCAGAAGTGTGAGAATGAATGAACTGCAGAAGTGAGAATATGGACATTCTTTTCCCTGTGTTGACACTGACCAGGGTTTGCAACCTCAAATGGCCTGTGGTGATTTTGAAGACACCCTGCTCTGGTTTCTGCCTTGTCCTAGGTGTAGGTTGGTAGTGGGAGTGGTCCCATGGAGCTCATTTGGATAACTGTCTTTGCTGGAATCCTTCACTCTGCCCCTGGTTCTCTGGGGAAAAAAAAATCTCTCCCATTCCTGCTCCTCCTACTCACATGGGACAGTGGTTCCTTGGCTCCAGAACAGTTTCTGTTCAGCCTGTAATGTTCTTTTTCTCTGTGAGTTATTAATGTGGATTGCAGATTAAGACCTGTAAAGTAGTAATATATATCAAGTACTTGTCCTTGGTCCTTTTATAAGTGCCTTACATTTAGAATCCTCCCAGTAAATTAATGATTTTAATACTGATCCCCATTTTAAGAAAAATAAGGAACAAAGATTATGCAACCAAGAATGGGTTGCCATGTGTGATCTCCCTCCAGAGCTGTCACTAGCACTGTGCCTTCAACCACATGCAGCTGCCCTGTGGGGCTCTGCAGATGGATAGCACCCTTCTAGCCCAACTGAGTCCCTCTCCTGCTGCCTCCAGTGGTGCTCATTTGACCCCTCCAGTTGTCTGTAGCATCCAAGCATGTCTCCAACGGGCAGGCATGTGACCTGGCCATGAAGTGTGACATAAAAGAAAGCCTTTTGTAAATGTACTGAAATTCCAATTAAGCCCTTAAATGAGGTTTCTGTCAGCTTATAGTGATTCATTCTGCTGTGAACAACCAAATCTATTGAATTTTATCATCTTTCTTCTCAAAGTTTTCAGAGCACCAACTCTTCTTATATCATAAGTACCTAAGTTCTTGTTTTGCTTTCATTATTGTAATTCAGTCAGTTCCCAAATCTAATTTATTATTGTTCTCTACATTGGTATAAAATGGTAGTGAACATTAAAATTGATAGATCTTAAAAATCAATTCATGTGAAATCACATAATAAGCCCATTAAATGTTAAATATAAATATAAATGACACAATTTAAAGAAAGTAAATATATTAAAGTTATATATTATATATTAAAATTATTAATGTCACTAAAAAAGTAGACTTTTATATTTTTATATTTTTTTAATATCTGGCTATTGAAGACGGCCAGATTATCATTTAGGTCGTTGAAATTTGCTGGTGTGTGTGAAGGATATGAAGAAAACCTTGCCTCACATCGATATGCAGCTGAAAAAAAGAGGAGTATTTTAACAGGCTTTTCAGAGAATTGTGGAATTTTTACATATCACACCAAACCTGACACAGTATAGTTTCTTCAAAATTCATTCATCACAGTATAGAATCTGAACCCACAGCAAATAAACCCTTTTTACTCTTCTAATAAAATCCTTGTATAGAATGGATTTTTTTTTCTACTCCTGGGCTTTGGTCTCTGAACCTGGGTGCTGTCCCTAAGCGTCTTTTGCTCAAGACTGGTGCTCTACCATTTGAGCTACAGCACCATTTCTGGTTTTTTCTGTGGTTAATTAATTTCTTCCCAGGCTGGCTTTGAACCTCGATCCTCAGATCTCAGCCTCCTGAGTAGCTAGGATTATAGGCATGAGCCACCAGTGCCCAGCTCTAGAAAGGATCTTTTGTAATGTCACACACTGGCAATTGGGATGAAGTTGGTTTACTGCGTTGTATAGATCTTCCAGATGTTGATACATGGGTATACTGACACTCTTCATTATTTAAAAGTCACGTTTGTTAATATTACACAATTATCATGAGAAAAATCTTTAGCATTAAGCTTTCAATGTCATGTATCTGAAGGTACAGTTCTCAAGATTGTTTTCATTCAGCTAAAAATATTTCTCTTGTAATTTATTCTTCACTTAGATTGTTTAGAACTATAATGTCTAATTTATAAATATTTTGGGATTTTCTAACTTATCTAATTGATTTCTAATTTCATCTTGTTCTGGCCAAAAAATATACTTTGTTTTATTTTAGTCCTTTGAAATTTAGGAAACTTGTTTTATGGCCCAAATATAGTTAATATTGATAAATGTTCCCTATACACTTGAAAATAATATGTACTCTATTGTGTGGAGTGTCTTATAAATGTCAATTAAGTCAGGCTGATGGTTCAAATCTATATCCGTACTGATTTCTCTACGTATTTGTTACCCATTATGTAGGGAGTGGTGCTGACCTCCTTCCCACCCCCCAGCTATACTTACCTTTTTGCCTTTTCATTGTAGATTGGTTCAAGTTTTGTTTCATATATAAACTTATTAGATTCATATATACATTTAAGATTATGATGGCCTCTGGATTGATATTTTATTATGATGAAATGACCCTCTCTGCCTTGGGTTCTTCTTTGTTCTGATGCTTATCTTGTTTAGTTTGCCTTTGATCAATATTAGTATGAGAAGGGAATAATTAGAACACAATCTGCTTTTATAAAATTCTAGAAGTGGCAAACTAATTTATAGTTACAGAAAAGTTGTTAGTGGTTATTTGAGAATGAGGGAGGAGATAGATATGTGTTATGAGAGGATACTGGGAAACCTTTAGGTATGATCAGATGTCATTTCAATTGTAATGGGTTTTCAGGTTTGTATATATACATGCAAAAATTATATACATGAAAAAGCATAAATATAAATAATGCACATGTCATATTTATATATAAATTATATGTAAAATTACATATATATGCATATGACAAATATATATGCAAAAACTGGTCAGATTATATACCTTAAATCTTTAAATATATGCTGCTTATAGTACACCATTTATACCCCAATAAAGAATACAGTGCTACTAGTACATTTTGGTCCCACTGTCTTAACAATAACAAATCGCTATTCGTGTTTCACCATGAGTGTAAATATAAACATAGTAATGTAAGCAAATAACATTTTAATAGTCTTATGAAAATAGTTTTGACCTCACAAATCCCTTGAGTCTCCAAGAAGCTCTGGTATAATTATTGTGTAATTATTATATCCTAATGCTGACTCCTAATTCTACAACAGTTCCTTATGAAAATACTCTTTATGCCATGCTCCACTTAAATATTAAAATGTGTTTATTATGTTCATAGCATTTCATGATTTAAAGGTTGTGTATGACAGCATTTAAGGCCCTCTCTGGTGATGCATACCTGTAAGTCCCTATCTAGTCTCCTCACTACGGCTGGACATTCTACATTCCTTCTCCCCTCTGGCCTATGGTCATGCCCTTTTCAGTTTCTATGTGATAGGTTCTACTTTCTAGCACCTGGCTCAAATTCTGTCCAGGCTATCAAACTTCACCTACCACACCTACATCCATTTCCCCTTGCTTTCAATATGCCCAATGTGTTTTATTTGAATTGTTACTGAAATAGTTCATGACATAAAACATTGTGTCTTGTTCCTATAATAATATTTTAAACTCTTTGGGCTATATCTAATGCTTTTTTATTCCCCCAAACTATTAACATGGTGCTAAAGTATAACGGATTTGAGAATAGTTTCATGTGTATTTTTTCTCCTAGTCTTATCATTTCTTGCTTTGACATTTCTTTAGTCTTTAGAGCCCTTTAGAAAATGTTTTGATTTACACCTCTGACCTCACTCTTACCAGCTTTTCTTTGGCATCTTATGTAGGTAATCAAGTATAGTATTTGTCAATCAATAAGGCATTCTTTTTTATCCTTAGCCTTCTACTGGTTTAATGTTTTTACTCACTAATTTGCCTTGAATTCCCCGTCTAATAGCTCTTCTCTTCTATAAAGTAAATTCATCTACTGTATAACATTTAAATTTAAATATATGAATACATATACTGACAAATGTATTGATAGGGTTGGAGAGTAATGTGGTAATCTTACAAGTAGCTTAAAATTATGATTTTGATATTTAAGTGATTTTGTGTATTGAAGTAGTCTCATTAGTTTTCAGTTATGCACCATATCATTGCCTAACCCAAGTAAACCATTTTTGAACACGTTGTCCTCTTCTACTAAAGGCAGATAGTGAGTTTGTGACAGCAGTAAGATTTTTTTAAATCTCTGACTCATTAGGCAAGAATGATGTCTTAACTTTTTCAGTTATCAATGAGTATCCTTGTAGTTAAGGCAATTTAGAATTAACACATGTAGTGCAGCATATGCAAGGCCCAGAACTGCAAAGAAAGGATCACTTTTTAGCAAAAGGCAGTTTTCTCCCAAGAATATTTTTCAGGTAGTTCCCATTTTATGTTATTATTCGGATTGGCTTCAGAGAATCAGGAGCCTTAATAAGCCACTAAGATACATAATCCTTACATGCAATAAATAGGTTAGTTGTAACCTGCTTTGGACTTTATGACATAGCTATGAAGGAATGTTGAATTTAAGCAGGTGATTTGATAATGATTATAAGAGTCTAATGACCAATGATTTTTTTTTGGTGTGTGTGTGTGTGTGTGTGTGTGTGTGAGTGAGTGTGATTACATGTGTGTATGTGAACACACGAGCTTGCACGCTACTATCAGGACTTGAACTCAGTTTCTCAGCCCTTTCTTGTTTGGCTTTCTTGCTCACAGCAATTCTGCCATTTGAGCCATGTCTCCACTCTGTCATTTTGCTAGTTAATTGGAGACAGAATCTCATAGACTTCTGTTCAGCTTGGTTGGAACCTTGAGCCTCCTGAGTAGGTAGGATGACAGGTGTGAGCCACAAACACTTACTTCAGTGATGACACTGGCTTTTTGATGAAGCAAATTGGCATGTTAGAATTTTGCTTTTCATCTAACCTATCAGTGAGTATAGAGTTAATTATCTCTTTTCTGTTTATATACCTGAAGGTAACTTTTTAAATTTTATTTATGTATTTATGTATTTATTTTGTTGGTTGTGGAGCTTGAACTCTGGGCATGGGTGCTGCCCCTCAACTCTTCAGCTCAAGGCTACCACTCTACCACTTGAGCCACAGTGTCACTTCCAGCTTTTTCTGTTTATGTGGTGCTAAGGGCCTTATGCATACAAAGCAAGTATGCTACCACTGAGCCACCTTCCCATTAAAAGGAGAGCCTAATGCCCATAGCTCATACTTGTAATCCTAGCTACTCAGAATGTTGAAATATGAGGATCACAATTCAAAGCCAGCCAGGGCAGGATTAACTCCAGTTAACCACCAGAAAACCAGAAGTGGCACTGTGATTCAAAGTGGTGTAGAGCTCTAGCCCTGAACAAAATTGCTCAGGGACAGTGCCCTGGCCCTGAGTTCAAGCCCCACAACCAACAACAACAACAAAAGGAAAGAAAGAAGAGAAAAAAAAAGAGACTTAAGTATTTGCTAATATGTAACATCCTTTGAAGGATTCAAATTTAAACTGAAGTATTCATCCATATAAGGAACATGATATATCAGTGGTTCATATATCAGATTCTGTGTGATCTTTGTGGACCTGAAATGTAAATTTGACATGTCTATAATTACCTTCATGTGTAGTTAAAAAAAAATTAGAATGTCCATAGTCTAAAGCAAAGGAGATTTAAACAGATGTGTATCTAATGTGTCACTCATGACTATACTGGAAGATATAGTGAACCAATGAGGTACTTTCACTTGCCTAGGAGAAAAAGATTCTAGGAAAACATTTAGATTAAATTTCACTGAATCCAACCTTTTACATTTAACATGTAGAAATAAGGGCTTAATACTATACATATATATATAAATTATACATAAATATATTTATATAAAATCATGATAAGCCATGAGTGTATGCTGGAAGTAACTCAATTTTTGAAAACAATAAACAGCTCTTGATAAAATTATAAAAACAAAGTATTATTCATCCTTAAGTTATTTAGTATCTACTCTTCTGGAAAATTCAATATATATTAAAATCATGCAAACTGTCTTTGGTGATAAGTTAAATAGCATTCTAATCTGGGTAATTACAAACAGATTTTTCAGCATTGTGCAAACTGTGCATGTTGCACCTTTTTTGTTGTGTTGAGCTACATCTTAGGCCCCCATCCATTTAGTGCCAGTGGTGCTCCTTTCCAATATGTGTGACAACCAGAACTGTCTACACATTGTTTTACACATTGTTCCACAGCACCATTAAGAGGACAGTACTGTTCCTTAATTTCTCTATATGTTAAATAGATAAAACTACTTTCAGTCTGAAGATTAAATGAGATGTAGGCCTAGTCTACTGTAAGATTCAATAAATAGGTTGAGAAGACTTGATAGCAGTTGAAAATAGCTGTCTAGCTGTGAAGTTAGGATGGATAAAACACAAGACACCAGGCAAAAACCAGTAAGATTAAATTTAAGGGGGATAAATGTAGGGCTCCATGGATGTTGCCTAAAAGCTGTTTGCAAATCAAAGCTAAAGATAAAATTAGTCAACAGTTCAAAAGACAATACAAGAAGGCCCCACATTAGCCTTGGTGTAGTTCAATTGCTTAAAAATAAAAGCACTGTCTGCCAGTGCATTATAGTATGATAGCCCAATACAATCCATGTCCAAGGTACTACCCAGGCTTCCATTTGTAGCCACTTTTCTTTTGACAAAGAAGTTAAAATAGAACTTCTTAGAGAAAAAAAACATAATGCTTCCACTTGTAGGTTAAAAAAAAAAAGGAAAAGCATGGCATTTTTTCAGGTAATTTAAAGACAATAATTTTGGGAGAAAAGATACTTATTCTCTGTATCTATATAAAGCAGAACTGAGCAGGGCACCAGTGGCTCATGCCTGTAATCCTAGTTACTCAGGAGTCTGAGGGTCATGGTTCGAAGCCAGCCTAGGCAGAAAGGTCCCCGTAAGACTCTTATCTCCAATAAACTACTCAAAAAAAAAAAAAAAAGCCAGAAGTGACTTTGTGGCTCTAGTGATAAAGTGCTAGCCTTGAGCCCAGGCCCTGAGTTTAAGCCCTAGTTGGCGGGGAAGGGGGAGAAGGAAGCAAGCAGATCTGAGATACTCCTGGAAGCTACAGGAAGACATACTGATTTTGTAGAAAGCTGTCAACCAGACACTTGGTTGTTCTTTCTCAGGGATGCAATAAAATAGCATTTTCCAGGGATGGATAATGTCTAGAGACTTGTCCAGCTTTTGAATGGATGTCAGAGTAGATTCCTGGATGTGTTGCCACACCAAGCACATACAGTAGCCCTAACTAGGTTCCCTGTTCTTACAAAGACTCAAGGAAGATTCCCTTTTGTCCTGGATTGTTTCAGACATTTCACTACCCATAAATAGCTGGACTCAACTGGGAAGGAAATCTCAGCGCGTGTGCTCTTTCGCTATCTTTCTCACTCTCTTGCACACTCTCTTTCTCTCTCTCCCTCTCTTCTCTCCTCTCCTCTTGTCTCCTTTCTTCTCTCTTCCTTCTAATCTCTCTCTATTTCTGTTTCCTCCACATACACACACACTCTCTCTCAAGAAAGCGTCTTTTTATTGCTCAGGTTGGCCTTGAGTTAGCTACTTAGCCCAAGCAGACCTCAAACCTATCATTCTCCTTTCTTAGCCTCCTGAATGCTAGGATTATAGGCATGTGCCACCACACCAGTAAAAATCCAGACCTTTTTTTGGCGATTGTGGGGCTTAGAACTCTGGGCCTGAGTGCTGTCCCTCAGCTCTAATGCTCAAGGCAAGCACTCTACCTCTTGAGCCACAGTGCCACTTGTGGTTTTCTGGTGGTTAATTAGAGATAAGAGTCGCACAGACTTTCCTGCCCAGCCTGGCTTTGATCCATGATCCTCAGATCTCAGCCTCCTGAGTAGCTAGGATTACAGGTGTGAGCCACTGGCACCCAACCCAGACTTAACAGACTCTGGAGTCAGGCCCTGGTGGCTTACACCCATAATCCTAGCTAATCAGGAGGCTGAGAGCTAAGGATTGTCATTTAGAGCCAGATGGGTCAGAATAGCTTTGAGACTCTTACCTTCAGTTAACCAACAAAAAGCTAGAAGTAGAGGTATGGCTCAAGTGATTGAGTGCCAGCCTTGAGCAAAAAAGCCAAGTGAAAGTAAGAGGTCCTGAGTGGAAGTCCCAGTAGCATTACAAGAAAAAAAAAAAAAGCTGTATGACATCCCTAGTTGGAGATTCTGCTTTAGTTTTAGTAGATATGAACTACAGCTCTGGCACGTTAGTTTTAAAAGACTGCTAGTCTTTTGGAGAGAAGGCTTCTTAATGAGGTCATAAAAGTACAAAAGTAATAAATTGTTTATATCCACAAATATTGGTACTGCTTCAAGGACCCAGGGGTCCTAAGTTGAGCTTCAGCCATATTTCCACTGCACTTCTTGCCTGAACCATTCTTCCCCCAGGTGGCTGCAGAATTGCACCTGTTGTTTAGTGTCTGCAACAGATGTAAGCTTCATCTGGATGGGATTTTGTTTTGATTTGTTTGGTCACTGGTTGATCACAAGCCTCCAGAAAAGTTCATGGCATGATGTTAAGTAGTCAGTAAATGTTTGTTGAGTGACTCCTAGAAGTGAGGTTACTTTTGCTTTTCTTTTTTTGCTTAAAATAAAATTCATGGCCTGCCCTGGACACTGTACCTCTTCTATCTGTAGCTTTCTCTATATCAGGAACTATATATAAGTGGATATGCAAAAGAAATGCTCAACTCTGGCATAACAGATAACTGGTTTGTTCTTGATGGATTATAATTTTATTTCAAAACAGGACGTGATATGGTCTGACTTTGGATTTCCTGGAAGAAATGGACAAGAGAGTACCTTGTGGATTGGCTCCCTGGGAGCCCATACCCCCTGTCATCTGGACTCTTATGGTTGCAACTTAGTATTCCAGGTACAAGGAAGGTAATGCATATGTTTGCAAGTTTGTGCTTGAGTGTGATGTGAGCAAACAGAAAAGGAATGGCAGGATTCTGCGTCTTAGTCACAGCTTCATCCTGTCCATCTGCTTTGTGCCTGGCATAGCTTTTCCACCATGTTCTCTCTTTCCCATGTGAAGTGAGGGGAACAATTGAATTGGTTTCTGTGTCTTAACCATGATCAGAATTGTCTCCAGAGTTCCCAGTTCAGCTGGCCCTAGCTTTCTCTTAAGACTATTTATGTGTGTGCTTTGAGTAGCACACAGGAGGCTCACAGGAGGTTTCCCTGTGTTCCTTGGACCTCTCAAGGGGTAGTCAGGGCACCTGTTCCTTCTCAACTGTAGTTTTTGCCCTCCAGTTGACCCAACACCATATATTATTGCCATAGATCAGTTTTTGTTGTTGTTGTTTTAATCTTCATCTGTCTGTTGTCCCTATGAAATAAAGGGGCTAAAAGTCTGTGGTATATTATGTGTGTGCTGGTACTGGGGCTTGAACTCAGTTATTTCTGTGTTTCCCGCCACCCCCCCACCCACAACTGGTGTTCTGTCTCTCAAGCCTTACCTCCAGTTCAGTTTTCCTCAACAGGGATCCCCTTGAAACCATATGCCTATACACTGTAGTTTTTTTTTAAGTTGTTGTTATCATTGATACTTGATTTTTCTTTGAGACAAGATCTTGTTATGTAGCTAAGGCTAGCCTAGAACTCACTATGTAGCCAAGGCAAGTTCTTAACTCCTAATTTTCCTGCCTCAGCCTCCTGGTTGTTGGGATTAGAGCACACCTAACTACTGTAGAGTTTAACTAGAAGGTTAGTTAACTTCTTCTGTTAGCAGTATATGAATTTCCTCCTATTTAGTTTCATGATTTTAACAGTGCTACAAATGCATTTATATGTTTTGATAAGATGTAATAAGATGAATTGTCGAAAACCATAGTAAAAAATGTAAACTTGATAAAACAATCCTTTTTCTGTATTATTACCATTACTATTGTTATTATCATTGTCATTATTAATTTCTGCAGTCCTGGATTATGAACTCTGGACCTTATGCTTGCTAGATAAGCATTCTGTCACTTGAGCCACATTTTAGGCCTTTTGGGGCTCCTATTTATACCCAGGCTGACCTAAACTATGATCCTGAATACAGGGGGTGAGCTTAATCTTTGGATATAAAATGACTACCTGATTTTTTTTGACTGTTTGTTTGCTTTGTTGTTGAACTGAATCAGGACCTTGTGCATGCTAGGCAAGCACTTTACCACTGAGCTACATCCCTAACCCATGACTATCTGATAGATAGATATTCATTACATCAGAAAGAACAAAACTCGAACCAAGGAGAAAAACACATGAGAAGGAAAACTTTGATCTGAGATAGGAATGAGTCTTCCCAGCAAGGAAAGAGACTGGCCAGGGTCATGAGATACCTACTATCAGTGAGTCATTTTCAGCAAATGAGTTAGAGAGCAGCTCTGAGTAAGAGGCCAGGAGGACGCTGACAATATGTTCCTTGGTTTTGAACTTGAAGGAGTAAAAATGAACATTGATTTGCTAATTTCTTACCTATTTGTCTCAAGTTGAGAACACTAACTTGTATCTTCTTTTTTCTTGGTATTAGGAAAAGATGGCATCTCTTTCCTCCTGAAGATACACCTTTCCTTTATCCAACCCGAATCCCATATGAAGAATCTAGTGTGTTCAGTAAAGTCAATGTGGTCAATCCTGATTTACAACGTTTCCCTCAGTTCCAGAAAGCTCAGAGACATGTGGTCACGCTGTGCCCAGGACAGGTAATGACCTCTCTGTCAGAGGACACCATTGTGTCACCCTGGTGCCATGTGCTTGCCCTCAGTGCAGACATGAATGGTTTCCTCGGGGCTGGGAAGGTGGCTCAGTGGTAGAGCGCTTGCCTTGCATGCATGAGGCCCTGGGTTCGATTCCCCAGCACCGCATAAGCAAAAATTTAAAAAAAATTTTTAAAAAGTTTTTTTAAGAAAAAGAATGGTTTCCTCCTGCTGTTCTGCTGTTCTGAGGTAGCTGTCTCATCTGTAACAGGTGACGGAAACATAGCGCCTCCTGTGGGTGAGGAAAGTAGACTTCGAAGGAAGACAGCCCACAAAACCATTTTCATTCAGGTTAAGAGAAAATTTCAAGGCACAGTTACCAGAACATTTTTTCACAGTTCATGTCTGTTCAGGTGTAGCAGAATTAAACCCAGACACATAAATGTGCATTGGAATGCATTTGGATAGTCAGCCAACAGAGGCAGAATGAATTGAGAATAGTTTGGTTTTGAGAAAGAATGGGTGACTATTTCTAGCATTTCTAGTTCTGTGACCCTGTGGGTAAAAATTCCCTTACAATATTAGCACTTGCTGAATGATGGTTTACTCTGAAAGATCTTGGGTTGTTTGTTTTGTTGTGTGTGTGTGAACGTGTGCATGCGTGCGTGCGCATGGTTATGATTTGAGGCAGGGTCTTGCTATATATCCCTTCTTGCCCCCAAATTTTGGTCATGCTGCCTCCATCTCCACATGGGATTACAGGCATATATTCCCATACTCCGCTTCTTTATCTCTTGAAGAGACTTAACACCCTTAGTTCTCCCTCTCCATTGCCTGTATACCTTCCATCACTCCCATGTGTAAAATATACTACATGTATTTATTCATTTCATTCATTTACCGGTTAATCACATTGGGTATTATGAACATTGGGTATTATCAACATTACTGTTAGGAACTTTCCTGTGTTAGCTGTTGGAGAAATCCTTTGTTTTCAAGCCTCTTGGGTACATACTTAGGAGTAGAATTAATGCCTCATATAGTTTGTTTGTCTGTGTTTTTCACAGTGACTCTCCCATTTTACATTCTTACAAGTAATAGATGAAGATTCCGTTTCTTCATATCTCCAACACTTGCTGCTTTTTATTACTGTAATTCTTTTTTTGTTTGTTTGTTTGTTTGTTTTTGGGGGGGTTGGTCATGGGGCCTGAACTCTGGGCCTGGGCGCTGTCCCTCAGCTCTTCAGCTCAAGGCTAGCGCTCTACCACTTGGGCCAAGCACCACTCCGGCTTTTTTCTTTTTGCTTATGTGGTGCTGAGGAATCGAACCCAGGGCCTCAGGCATGCAAGGCAAGCGCTCTACCACTGAGCCACCTTCCCAGTCCCTATTACTGTAATTCTTATAGCTTTCTAATGGGTATAAACTAGTTTCTAGTTCATTTTTTATTTCATCTTTAATAGCCAAATTTAAATGATGGGTTTGTCTTGTATCAGGTTTGTTTTTTTTAATCCTGTTTGTTCTTTAATTCACCATAAGATGGCTCTCTCTCACCACTTTATTATGCTAGGATATTCATGACTTCTTTATTAGTCAGCTTGCTGTCACTGTAATGACAGGAAAAAAAAATACCTGAGAAAATCAGTTTAATGAAAAAGAAGCATGCCAGTGGCTTATTCCTGTAATCCTACCTACTCAAGAAGCTTATCTCTAAGAACCATAGTTCAAAGACATCTTGGGCAGAAAAATCTGTGAGACTCTTATCTCCAATTAACCAGTAAGAAGTTGGAAGTAAGGGTATGGCTCAAGTGATAAAGATCCATTTTTGAGTAAAAGAGCCAAGTGAAATTACAAGGCCCTGAGTCCAAGCCTCAGTAGTAGAGCACAAAAAAATCCATCCATCCATATATATGTATATATGTAACTTATTTTGCCTCAGAAGTTTTGTTTCATGGATGTTTAGCTGTGTTGCTTTGGGCCTTGGCAGCACAGTACATTGTGATGGGAGTATGCCATGGAGTTGAGTGCTTACCTCTTATCAGCAGGCAACAAAAGAGGATGGAAGGGCTGGGCACCAGTGGCACATGCCTGTAATCCTAGCTACTCAGGAGGCTGAGATCGGAGGAACACAGTTCAAAGCCAGCCCGGGCAAGAAAAGCTGTCAGTCTCTTATCTCCAATTAACCACCAAAAGACTGGGAAGTGGCGCTGTGGCTCCAATAGTAGAGCGCTTGCCTTGAGCTGAAGAGCTGAGGAACAGTGCCCAGGCCCAGAGTTCAAGCCCCACAACCGACAGAAAGAAAAAAAAAAAAGAAGACAGAAGGGACTGTGTCTCATTATTCTTTCCTGGGCAGCCCTCAGTGACCTAACGTCTACCTATTCATGGTTGTACCACCCCTACACATTGCCAACCAAACCTTCAACTCCAGGAAAAACCACCTCTACTCATTGTCCCTCATATGCTCCTATGAGCAATTATCTTACCATTTCTTACCCAAGTGCCACTAATTTTCTCATTCCAAAGCCTAAAAGCTGCCCATTACCTCCATGATCCTTGACTCTGCCCATTACTTTTCAGTCTAGTGACCCTCCCTATCTAGATCTTAAACACTCAGTAAATGGACCATCTGAGAATATTCTTCACAGACTCTCCTAATGTCACAATTTTAACCATCCTTTTATTCAGAACTTCTTAGCATAAATTCTAACACCTATAGGTTAAAACCCACTAATTTTCTCTGAATTCAGGACCTTCACTGGGCCTCATTTTTTCTCCTCTCTTACTGCCCGGCACCTCCTGGGCAGTAGTGGCACTGACCTTGCTGGGTCTCAGCAGTGCCAGCTTTTCTCCTTCCTAACATAGTCTCATTCTTTTCTTTGTCCAGTTCCTCCCCTTGTTCTGATTCAAGTCAGTCTTTCTCTGGACCTCTTACTCTTGACTGCCCTAGTTGAGGCCTGCCTCTTCTACTTGGAGACTTCTCACATTTACCATTTCTATAATGGCACCCACTAGTCCATTATTTTCTCACCAGCTGGCTCTTGAACTGTAAAATGACGGAAGAGAAGTCCTCTATTTTCATATTTCTCAGATTTTTTTCCTCTGCTTTCTCAGAATTTGGACAATTGTTTTGCAGCAGAAAGGAGGAAAAATTAGACTCTCAAAAGCCTTCAGTAAAATGTAAATGTAGACAATGGCATTAAGAAGAGTAGAAAAGCTGGCTCAATTTAAAAAAATGACAAGGAAAAACAGATTATGGGGTTTTTGTTTGTTTCCTCTTTCCTTCAATACCGTGGGTTTTTTTGGTGTTTCTTCTTTCCTAGCAGCCTCATCAGATCTGACTGACATAAAAATGAAACATCCCATAATTGTGCTATTTTTTGTTTGGTTTTCAGGTTCTGTTTGTTCCCAGACACTGGTGGCATTACGTAGAATCCATCGATCCTGTCAGCGTCAGTATAAATTCATGGATTGAGCTGGTACTTTTTTGTTGTTCTTTTAAAAATAAAATCTCTGCGCTGAAGATACACAATTTGGTCATGAATTTGCTGGCCAATACACCAGGATGACCTTGTTTGGACTGCAGTGTTTTTGTCCCTGTCCCCAAACTCCCTGAGGTATTATTGTTCCTTGTTTCAGGGCCTCAGAGTCCCTCCCCCCAACCCCCAAGATAGTATCTGCCTATGACTCTCCAAGATCATGAGGGAGGGGTTGACAAAATGGCTTCCTTCTCAAATACTAGCCTGCCAAAAGAGGCACAATAGAGTCCCTGCACTGGATTTAAGGCTTGAAAGAACTGTGGGCTTATCCATTCGCTAGTGATTGCAGTCTGCTTGCTAGAGTCCCCTGGATTACCTGTGGTTGTGGCTTAGGTTTACACTGTCCACATGGGAGCTGAGGTTGGAGCTTTGGACTGTTTCCTAATTTTTTCTGTGTCATCTTTCTGTTTCTCTGTGGGTTTTCAGATGTCCAGTTACTTCTTTTGTGACTTCCTAGGCTCTTTCTCTTTTTCTCTTTGGGTCATAGTCTCTCCTGACTGGTACTCGCACCTTTTCATTCATGTAGTCAAACGGAATAAGCATCTGTTCTACCACCTGACCCTGTCCATTCTCTTTCTACATCAGTATCTATATATCTATATTAATTACGTATATTACAGATGTCAGGTTGTGGTTTTCCCCCTTTTATGTTTTTGATTAATAGGAGTTGGTGCTTTTGTTGTCATTTATCATTAATGCTACAGTGTATACACGTAGTAGCTTGGGAGAGCTATGTTTGGATGGCTACCCACTTCTCCTTCATACCCCCAGTCAAAGGGATCTAACACAGATATTCTGCATAGTAAACTCTGTATTGCTGATCTGCTCTCCCAGCCTGTTCACCTCATTCTTAGAGTGAAGCGTGTTTACAACTTTTCTCTGACCCTCAAATAATTTGCTTTTCTAATTCCATAAGAGGTATTCTTTTGTGTGATGATACTTTTTGAAAATGTTAAACATGTTAAAGAATGGGGGGGAAGCACAAAGGTGGCTTATACTGAAGGCATATGACTTACTGACAAAATACACATTTAAATTTGCCTATTGGTCTATTCTACATCTGTTCCAGATGGCAGATGATACTGAATACAAATATCATGGTTCTGCCATTAGCATATTCATTCTGTCACAAAGCTTGAATTAATGAGAACAGAGAACACTGTTAAAAGAGTCTATATTCTCTTTTAGACCAAAAAGTGAAAGACGAGTGCTTAAGAGATTTGTTGTTGGAAGTGGTTCTGTGGCTCAAGCCATAGAGCACTCACCTTGAGTTGAAGAGCACAGGGACAGAGCACAAGCCCAGAGTTCAAGCCCCAGGACTGACCAAAAAAAAAAAAGAGGTTTGTTGTTGTTGTTGTGTTTTTTTAATCTAACTTAGGAAGAAGACCACCTAGCCCGAGTGGAAGAGGCAATCACCCGGATGCTGGTGTGTGCACTGAAAACTGCGGAGAACCCACACAACGCCAGTGCCTGGCTAAACCCTACTGAGGTAGGCGGTTCTGGATTTCATTGTGGCTTTGGATTCCTATGGTGAATCAGCCTACATAATACATTCATTTTTACTTTCCCTAAGTGTATGCTAGCATCCTGAAGGGTTTGTCTTTATCCTCAGGTGGAAGAAACATCCCATGAAGTCAATTGCCACTATTTAAATGGAGCTGTTTCTGCCTTTTTTGACCATTACAGAGCATCTAAAGTAGGAGAAATTCAAGTAGTAGGAACACATGGGGAGAACCTCAGAAAGGATGAACTAAACATGAACAGCCCCATGGAGGTAAAGGACACACACAGCCAGAGTGTAACCATGGGAACCACAACGCAGGGGGCAGCAGGCCCCTTTGGTCCTCATCTGGTGCTTGTCACACCAAGCTCTGAAGAACTCCCTTCAGAAAGAAGAGACGTATTTGAAAGCAATGGCAGAGGATTTGTCTGCAAAGATGAGGAACTCTTTCCAAAACCATCCTGCACCAGGAGGCAACTGATGATCAAACAACGTGAAAATGCTGTGGTGGAGTCAATTGCCTCTAACAGCACCACGGCCCCTCCCTCAGTGTTCATCTCCACAGACGACTTGCTGGACTGTGTGGTGAATCCACAAGTAACCAGAATGGTGGCACAACTTTTGATACAAGGGAAAAAAATATGATTCTATTAAAGGATGTCTTTCTAAATAATATGAAAAAGTATTTTTTAAACATTGTTTTCTGTGATTTTTATTCCTGTTTTTCTTAGCAGAATCTCACTATATGAGATTATGAATTCAGAAGCTGACTTTAACCTCATAATTCTCTCCTGTCTCTTAGGCTCCTGAGTGTTAGGATTACAAGTGTGTAACTCAATTTCAGTTTGTAGTCAGGTGCATTGCTCTTTTAGTAAGCTTGCTGTCCTAGGTTCCTTTTACTTTCCTCCTCCATCTCATCCTTCCAGACTACCTTAATTGTAATTTCCCAGTATTCCCAGCAGGAAGCAACCTCCATCAGCTTCATCCTGGGATCAATCTGCTGCTTGTTTTTATGAAGAAAGTTTATTGGAAGACCTATTCCATGCTTTGCATTTTATATTATCTATGGCACCTTTAGAAGTGCAGTGGCAGAGTTACATCATCACAGAGACTGTATAGTATAGAAAATCAAATATATTCACAATCTATCCCTTTGCAGAAAATGTAAAGCATTCAAGTATACTGTTTCTAGGAGAGGACTTGAACAGAATCATGTCAGTCTGTCTCTAATTCAGGATAGTACATTATATAATTATTCTTTTTTCATTTTAATTGTTATTATAAAGGAGATATATAGAGTACATAAGTCAGGTAAAGAGCACGTTTCTTTTTGGACAGTGTCACCCCTTCCCTTACCCTCTCCCAGTTTTTCCCTCACATCCTCACTCACAAGTTGTATAATTCATTTTCAATATAGGGTCTAGTGAGTACCACCGCTGCATTTGTTCACCCTTTGTCCCTCCATTTCTGTGCTTCCCCTTACCCTCCCAAAGACAGATAGCTGTGTGGTTATTCTAAGAACTAAGTTGGTCCAAGGCCAACCAAAGAACATGCTAGACTAACCACTGTGTATTTACCCATTTATTTGACCATTCATTGTCTGTCTTCCCCAATCAGAATGTAATAACTCCACAAGGGTATGGTTCTTGGTGACATATGTTCATTATTTGACTGAGAAAATATGATAGAAATCTTTGTCAGTACTTCATCAAATGCTTTGGGGCAGAATATGTTGTGGCCAATGGTAAAAAGTGCTGTAACTTTTTTTTGACATGTTCCTATTGTAGAAATTTATCTATCTTTTCAGATAACTCCTGTTTGCTATTTATGGCTTATTAGCCAAACTCAATTCAGTATGCAAGAATCCACATAGACTAGAATAGAAAAGGATAGAACTTCAAAATTATCTGTACATAATTTCAGTGAATTATAATAGTAAGCCTAAGTAGTATTTCCTGAAACTTTTCAGAAAAGTATTCTTTTTTGTGATAAGTATATTTATCATAAGGCTTTTTCAGTTAGTCTTCATAGGTACTTGGCCTGATACAGAAAGTACTTAGGATAGACAGAGATAAGAAAAATGAAAGTTCCGCTGAGACAAAGCCTCTCATTCCACTTAGTTTTTGACCTGCAGAGACCTCACGAGAAAGTTAAGGCCTTGGTATAAAAGGACCAGTGACTCACACCTGTAATCCTAGCTACTCAGAAGGCTGACATCTGGGAATTGTAGTTCAAAGCAAGCCCAGGCAGAAAAGTCGGTGAGACTCTTATCGCCAATTAAGCAAAGGAAGTGGCGCTGTGGCTTAAGTGATAAAGCGTTTGCCTTTAGCTGAAGAGGTCAGGGACAGTGCCTAGGCCCAGAGTTCAAGCCCCACGACTGAAGGGGGGAAAAAAGAAAAAGAGGCAGTGGAAACCAAATCCAGAGGAAATAAATAGGCAAGGAAATATGGGGGTGTCTCACATATCATCTGAAATATTTTGAGGCAGTGGCATCATTGGAGGCCATGTTCTTCAGTGAAAGACTGGATGTGACAGGCAGTAAAGACTCCGTAGCTGGTTCTAAGGATTCCTGTTTAGCTGACCTCAGACAAAGAACCTTCTTGCACTCTGAGCATGTCTCCTCAGCCTTTGGATATACTATTTACATTTTAGGACTAATCATGGGAATAAAATAATGCATAAAAAGCACTTATTCTATCACCTGCATAAACGAGGTATTTAATGAGTGATGTTCAAATCTGCAATTTCCCTGAGGAATTAGGAAAAACAATTTTGCCATTGCATAGGTATTAGCAAAATAGCAATATGACTGCTTAATTCCTTTGGTTATACACAAGGCTTTAAAATCATCCAAAGCTAGGCTGCCAAGGGAAATAAGGCATTTAATAAACCTTAGAGTTGGGGCTGGGAAGGTGGCTCAGTGGCAGAGTGCTTGCCTTGCATGCCTGAGGCCCTGGGTTCGATTCCTCAGCACCACATAAGCAAAAAGAAAAAAAAGCCGGAAGTGGCGCTGTGGCTCAAGTGTTAGAACCCTAGCCTTGAGCTGAAGAGCTGAGGGACAGTGCCCAGGCCCAGAGTACAGGCCCCACGACCAGACCCAAAAAAAATAAAAAAACCTTAGAGTTGATTAATCTTAGCAAAGAAGGATTTCACTTTCACTGAAGGTGTAGCTGGCATCACGTACTGGGCAGTGTGAAGACAGGTAAGTTGTGGACACACAATTGTAACTATACATCTGTCGATGTATTTTCTCTCAATATTGATTCATTCCTTTATGAAGAGAAGCTCAGATAACTGATTTCAGTGACAAAGAGTGATGTTTTAGTCTTAGAAAAAGTTAATGGAGAAAGATACTGTATCTTGACTTTGGGGTTCTTTTGGAAAAGGACTCCAAAATATTACTGTCTAAAAGTAATAAGATACTCTGGGTATGCTTGGTAGTCATAAAATACCACAAATAAGTTTGGTCTGTGAACATTATCTACGACAGTGTCGTACAGATCAGTAGGATTTTGAGAGTTCTTTCCAGGAGGCACAATGTATGATTGATTTCCGAGTGTATATTCTCCAACAAGTACTCGAACATAGTAGATGTGTTTTTTCCCATTTGCATCTGGCCTGGAGTATGTGTCATTGGCAGAATAATTGGCATTAACAGCAAAATAGGTTCCCTTTCCATAGCATACAGCTGTGAAGAGAAAAAGTACTTTAAAATCATTTCATTATAGGCTGGGAATGTGGCTCACTGGTAGAGTGTTTGCTTCATATGCATGAAGCCCTGGGTTCAATTCCCAGTACCACATACACAGAAAAAGCTGGAAGTGGTGCTGTGGCTTAAGTGGTAGAATGCAAGCCTTGAGCAAAAAGAAGCTCAGGGGCTGTGCCCAGGCCCAGAGTTCAAGCCCCAGGACCGGCAAAAAAGAAAATAATTTCAGTATAGCATACAATTTGACATGTTGTCCCAGTACATCAAACAATGTAAAAGAATATTTAAGCATTTTGTGGGGGGAGGGTTCATTTTTAGAAATCAAATATTCCACATCACAGGACCAGATAGGCCAAAGGAAATAGAGCGAGACCTATCATGAAAGTTGCATTGATAACTGGCCAAGTATGGGGAAAACATAGTGGAAATTCACGTTCCTAGCCAGCTTGAGTTACCATAGCTGAAACCTCAGTGGGGAGCAGCCAGAGTCCTGGATTCCTTACCGTTCTTCCCTGCATAGCTGCGGTTAAAGCCATTTTCATTGACATGTGGCACAGAGTTAATATCTGTCCCATGGAAGAGCAGCCTCTCATTCCTTTGGTGGCCATTCTTGGCATCAATGGTTTTTTTCTTTGCCTGATAGCTATTCCAGAGACCTAAGTTCTGGATCCTTTCGATCTACAAATGAATAAAAAAAAAATTGCTAAAGTTGATGACACTTGCCAAAGTATAGGAAACAAAACATGGTCACTGGTTTTCATAAAAAATTACACAACAAATTCAATGCCAGCTGATATAGTTTCCTCTTTCAGAAGTCTTAGATTCAGTGTTTCATACAAATGGACATTGGATTGAATGTTGGCTTAATCTTTAATATCTTTTATGTACCACACAAGAAAAAGTCCAGTATCTTAAGTAGGTATATGAACTTTGCTGACTCTTCCTCTCCTATTTTACTTTTTTTGCTGGCCCTTGGGTGTGAACTCAGGGCTTGGATACTGTCCCTTAGCTTCTTTTGCTTAAGGGTAGTACTCTTAACATTTGAGACACAGCTCCACTTCCAGCTTTTTTGGTAGTTTATTGGAGATGAGAATATCACAGCCTTTCCTTCTGGTCTGGCTTCGAACAATGATCCTCAAATCTCAGCCTCCTGAGTAGCTAGGATTACAGGCATGAATCATTGGCTTCTGGCAAATCTCAACTTTTTATGTGCACTCCAGTAGCTGCTGCTGGTGCTGTCTACCTTTCTGTTACTTTGCCTCTTGCCAGTTTAAAAAACTTGTCCTAGAAGGTGTAAGGAGTGGATAAATATGGCTAGAGTCCCTCATAGAAAAGCAGACATGAAAGGTTTCAAGCTTTCAGAATCTTTCTATTCTACAGAACTGTCAGGCCTAACAGTATTAATCTGCCTTCATCTGGTTCTTTCTCCAATTGCTGCAGTTTTTAGGGTTTTATTTTTGATTTGATACCGTTTCCTCTAGTTAAAAGTCTCGACATCACACATTTTGTTGAGCTTCTTTGTGACTTAAACATTATTTCCTCTTCTTCACAGCTAAATTTCCAGTTATTCTGACTACATCTATTCTGTTTCCTGCTAAGTCAAATTTTCTGTATTTAACTTGATTTTTTTATACCTTTAAATTTTTCCTTAGATTGTAAAACATTTCTTAATTCCTTGGCCTTTCAGTTCTAAAATTTAAACCATTATTTCTTACATTTTTAGAAAATTTACTAAGTGCATAGTTTTTTTCAACTACTTAGATGATCTGGGGAAGGAAAAGGTCTATTTGAAGGACATAGGGATTTGATGAGCCAAGCTCCCAGAGACAAGGAAAGTACAAAATGAAACACAGAAGTCAAAAGAGAATGATCTCTTATAACTGCCTAAAGAAAATAACTGTCAAAGAGAATTCTATACCCAGCAAAATTATCCTTTAAA